TCAAAACTGTTTCTTTGCTCTGACATACATGTTTACTTGTGTGGGCAACACATGTAGATGACAGATACATAGATGCATAGATACTAGACAGACAGATAGACAGGTAGACAGACAGACAGACAGATAGATAGATAGATACATACATACATACATACAAACAAACATACATACATACATACATACATAGATAATAGATATAGGTAGATAAATATATAGACATAGGTAGATAAATTGATGATAGATTAAAGGTAGAGAGGTAATAGATTGTTGATAAATGATAGATGCAGTACATGGTAGATAGATGATACATAAATTCATAGATAAATGATAACTATGGCTTGAGAGATGATAGTATATAAATGATCAAGGTAGATGAGAGATGGATAAGATAGGTAATATAGATAGGAGTTCGTGTGTGATACTTGTGTCACTGGAATCTCATGCAACCTCCCACAGCCCATTCAATCCCTTGCACAATCTACATTACTAGCACAGAGGAAACGAATCATTTCAAACTACTGCTAAAATATTGATATGCCACAGTTTAACCAATCCTTCATTAGCTTGAGTGCATTTTTACTATTCTGACATTACAAGGAATATTATATTCCTGTTTGGGTACATGTTGGGAGAAAACCTAGGCTCTATGCCTAGAGATATTACAGGCTGTGCAGGTGTTGTATTTTAGCAGGTGTTGGAAAATGAACTGGTTCCATATACCCATAACCAGGAAGCTGTTGATGTATGTGTGTGTGTGTATGTGTGTGTGTGTAACTTAGTTTCCAAATTATTTGAGTCAACATGTTTGACTCCCAAATGTTTTGTTTAATTTTCTATTTTCTCATGAGATGGATTTTCTTATCAATTTATGAGTTTATACACTATGTCTACTGCTTGCCCCAAATACAAATTTTCAGTCTCATAGTGAACAAACTTCTGTCGGCTTGAATGAAGGGAAGGTTGAGAGGGGTGACATTGTATACATAAACTGTTTTGTTAAATGGCAGCTCCTTTGTACAACTACCTAAAGATAAGGAAATAAAAAATAGTGTCAGCTATTTCATGAAGTGGCAAAGGAGAAGCATAAGGTTCAAGGATCACAGGGAGACTTTGATACAGGTGTCCTTACAATCACCTCAGGGTCTCTGTGATCTCATTTAAGTCAGCTGAGAGGATGACACATTGTGTGTGTGTGTGTGTGTGTGTGTTGGTACTGGGGCTTGAACAAAGGCCCTGGGTGATGTCTCTTACTGTTTTGCTCAAAGCCAATGCTCTACTACTTTAGCTATACCTCCACTTCTGGCTTTTTGCTGATTAACTGAAGATAAACAGACTTTCCTGCCCTAGCTGGCTTCAACCCATGGTCCTTAGATCTCAGCCTCCTGCGTAGCTAGGATTACAGGTGTGAGCCACTGACGCTTAGCTAAGAAATACATTTTTAAAAAAACAAAATTTATGATCCAGGAGCTAGGAAGGTGGCTCAGTGGTAGAGCGCTTGCCTTGCATGCCTGAGGCCCTGGGTTCGATTCCTCAGCACCACATAAGCAAAAAGAAAAAAAGCCGGAAATGGCACTGTGGCTCAAGTGGTAGAGCACTAGCCTTGAGCTGAAGAGCTGAGGGACAGCGCCCAGGCCCAGAATTCAGGCCCCACGACTGGACCCAAAAAAAAAATTATGATCTAAAATTAGACTCATAAATTGATGTGTTGAAACTCCTCTGTGCAACATTTTAAAGATAATAAAAATTGTAAGTTGAAAATAACGAAGTTGTATTATTTAGATCACATTCTCCATTACTTTTTTAACTTTAAAATTATACAATGGCTTCCTGTATTCATAGAGGGTAAAATCCAGTCCTTCACACGACCTGAGAACTTCCTCTCAGGATGGTCCCTTTCCAATTCCTCATTCCTTCCCCAGCCCACTCAGCCCCTGGTCCCGGAGGGAATATTCTGTGTCCACTTTCCTAACTCTGTTCCCTGTTCGAGAAACTTCTCCCTGGACTGTGCTTGGCCAACTCTTACTGAGCTTTCAAGCTTGACTTTCTCAGCACTGACTTTCTCTCATGATCTAAAATGCTCTGATTCCCGTCATACCACTCGAACCTTTTCACTCATGAATCTTTGGATTATCCATAATCATTTCAAATAGTGCGTCTGTTTGTTCCCACAGAAGCCTCTCCACGCAGACCAGCCACTCCGCAGAAGCAGGCTCATTCTCTTGATCACCGAGGTGCTGAGCAGCTGCAGGGGCTTACCTACCTTACACAGGTAAGCACGGTTCAGCCGGCCATGGGATGAGGGTACCAGCATACTAATGAATGGTTGGAAGGAGCATCAAGGTAGGTCGTAATTCTGGTGCAGCATGCAAACCCAGAGAATTGACTATTAATGAGAAGGGAGAAGATCCTATGGCTGCTCATTCTGTAACTTTAATAAAAACAAGAATGGAGTCGTATGTCAGATAATAACCACGACATAAATTCTGTCCCTCAACAGTGTGGTATCTCTGTGACACGTGACTGTTGGGTCCTTTCTCAGCCATCTGAAGAAGAAACAAGAGTTGGGGGGGGGAAGCTAACAGACATGTCAGATCAAGGCTCCAGTTCTTTATAGTGACCCCCGGCCAGGAAACCCCAAGATGCTCTTAAACTCAAATGCCTACTTTTTAAATACTTTCATTTCACAGTTAAAGCAATATAGATATTCACTGAATATTCTTTTTCATAGTAAGTTTTTTTAAATAAACTGGTAGTTACATGCTTCAGTGAAATTATTGAAGAAGGCTTGGATTCTTTCCAACTTTCTCCTCATCTGAGGACTCGGTTCGGAAGTAATTTAGAACCATCATAAATCCTTTTCTTACTTCCTCAGCTCCTCCATAATCTCATTGCAAGCTTGAACAGTAAGAGGCTCTGATTTATGGTTCTGTCAGTCCCGTCCCTTCCACTGAGGCCCGATGGGGATATAGATACATACATTTTTTTTCTGTTCTCTTTAACCAAAGATATAAATAGACTCCCAGAGTCAAGACTATAGTCAATAGTTTCCCCCAAGTTTTGCTTGAAACTTCTGCATACAAAGAACATGGTACTGAATCAAGTCCTCTGGGCATAAAGGTTGGCTTCTCTCCCACACATCCAGTTGTATCTGGGCATGGGACACAGTACTGAAGGTGACCGAGGCGTCTTTTGAAGACTTAGGGACGTGGCCCCATGCCACCGCGTTCTCAGTGACCTCTTAGCTGGGAAGAACGGCCCATGGTGGAGCGTCCACTCTGAGCAGCGGTGAGGACAGGGCCCGAGGGCATGCCGAACATTTTCTCCAGGCAGTGCCCCCGCCCGGCCAGTGTCCTCGCACAGAACTCCAGGCACAGTGCCGTCCTGCGTCTGTCCCAGGGCATTTCACCTCCAGCAGGACTGGGGGCATCTGCTCCCCGTCTGTGCCTGTGGCACCGGCTCCCCTGCTCATCTCTAGCTAAACCCCGCGCACGCAGAGGCCTTACTGTGGTCTCTGCCTTTCTTGGTATCTCTCAACTCACTTCCACCAAGCTGCCAGGGAGCTCCCCTGAACCTGTGTGATGACCATATTTACCTGCCCCAGAGCTGACAAGTAGCTTTGTTACCTGCAGTCCTGACCCTAATCCCCCTCCCTCTGTCTTGCTGTCTCTGTCTGTCTCTCTGCTTCTGTCTCTGTCTCTGTCTTTCCATCTCTGTCTCTCTGTCTCTCTGTTTCTCTGTTTCTCTGTCTCTGTCTCTCTGTCTCTCTCTCTGTCTCTCTCTGTCTGTCTGTCTCTCTCTGTCTCTGTCTCTTTCATATCTTTCTATGTAGCCAAGGCTGGCTGTGAATTAGCCAGCCTCCTGCCTCAGCCTCCTGAATTCTGAGATTACAGGCATGTACTTTCCTACAGGTAATGTGTACAACGATCGTGCCAAGTTCCACATCAGGACAGGTTATTTTCTATGTGTTTCCTGCACTGTTTTTTCTTCCTTTTATTTTTCTTTAAATGAAGACTGGGCTACTCCATGCTAGCTATAGGGTCACGGCTGGTCAACCTTTTAATTTTCTTATCAAGTTAACATTTGTTGAATATTGTTTCTGTTGCAGGAAGGTATGTCTTAGGCAGATATTATCAGCATCTCTATTTCATCAATGGGAAAACTGAGGTTCAGAGTTGCTAAGTGACTTGTTCAAAATCACAGGTAGTACATTTCTGATATGTGTTCAGTCACATTTCAAATTCTCCAACTTAAGTACTTCTTTGTCAATCCATCCCATAGTTCTCCCCTTATATTTTTTATGTAATTTATTATGCTGTTCCAAAATGTACCCATTGTATACGCTATACATACAAACTAATATTAATTTATTGTGCACAGTATATATAATTAATTCAAAATTCTAATCTTAATTAATTAGGTCAAAGAAGGGACTATGATTGCATATCTATCTATCTATCTATCTATCTATCTACTTACCTGTCTGCCTATGCCTATATATCCCTCGCTAGACAAATGGATAAGTATGAATATATGTATACATATATATACATATATATATAGTGAGAGAGGGAGAGAAAGGAGATATGCAGATATAGATGAAATAGATGATATTGAGAGGACACAGATATAGATATCAATGAATTATAAGACAAGGTGCTACAGTTTTGACATCAATTCATAGGATTCTATGTATTTCCAGTGTCTAAGAGGACATCTCAGGAAGTCAAGAATCCTTGTTCAATGCCTGAAGACCTTTTTATTCTCTCCCTTTCCGTTTCCACCAGAGTGATCTCCCCGGTCATTGAGCAACTCACTGGCCTACTTTGGAGCACATGGAGAATGAGCTCGATAGGGTGTGAGCACTGAGAGCCACAGCCCCACAGGACCAGCGGAAGAGAGAGGTGCGTTCAACTCTCCAACAACAAGAATCTTGAGATTCATTTGCTATAAGCAATGTGTCTCAAAGGAAACAAATTGTGAGAGGTATTTCTGTCACTCACCAGGCCAGCAGTGACACATGTAACCGTCAGCAGTGTCTTCACAAGTGGCATTGTTGTCACAAGGGTTTGACCAGCAAGGAGGCATCGAGGTCTCACAGCGAGGCCCCATGAATCTGCTCCCTGTGCAGTTACAGCGGTATCTGCGGAGGAAGTGACATTTTTATGTTAAGCCCTGCGCATATTGAAATGAAATGTTTGTATTCTGTCACTTCATTTGTCCATCATCCTGAAACCCACGGCACAGTCTTAACTCTTCAACTGCAGACAGTTATATCCATAAGCCTCAATGAATTGCGCATCTCTTGCTGTTGTCTTCTGGGAGTTATGCTGCAGCTTTATGCAAAACTAGTTGCAAGCCACGACTTACTTTGTTTTCTTCATGCATAGATTGAAGAACTTACATCGAAGAGAATTGCAATAATTAAATGCACAGACAAAGATAGGCACAAATGTCAAGTATCCTAGTGAACTGCATGCATTACTATTAAATAGTCCTAAATAAAATTGCTAATATTTTTGAGGGCAGTAGAGAGTGATTTATACCAAATGATGAAAAATGAAACAATAAGTTATGAAAAACTCAGGAAAAGCCTTGATTAAATTCTGTGACTTAGGTTCTCAAAAATATTTTAGTCTTGCAATTAATTTCTTTTTCTTTCTTTGCCTCCTTTCCTTTCCTTTCCTTTCCTTTCCTTTCCTTTCCTTTCCTTTCCTTCACTTCCCTTCCTTCTTTTCACTATATTATTCTTTCTTTCCCCTTCTTTCTCCTTTCTTGTTTCCCTCTCTCTTTCTTCCTTTTTCCTTCCTTTCCCCTCCCTCCTTCCCCTTCCTCCCTCCCTCCTCCCTTCTTCCTTCCTTCCTTCCTTCCTTCCTTCCTTCCTTCCTTCTTCCCTCCCTGATTCCCTCCCTCCCTCCCTTCTTTTTCTTTTCTTTTTTCTTTTCTTTCTTTCTTTGTCTTTCTTTTTCCTTCCTTCCTTCCTTCCTCTTCCTTCTTCCCTCCCTCCCTCCCTCCCTCCCTCCCTCCCTTCCTTCCTTCCTTCCTTCTTCCCTCCCTGATTCCCTCCCTCCCTTCTTTTTCTTTACTTTTTTTCTTTTCTTTCTTTCTTTTTCCTTCCTTCCTTCTTTCTTTCTTTCCTTCCTCTTCCTTCCTTCCCTCCCTCCCTCCCTCCCTTCCATCCTTCCCTCCCTCCCTCCCTTTCTTTCTTTCTTTCTTTCTTTCTTTCCTTCTTTCTTTTTCCTGAACTCAGGGCCATGTGCTTGCTATACAGGTACCTTCTTGGCTCTTGATGCTTCCATTATATTTTGAATAGGCTCTTGTGTGTATGTTCAGGCTGGCCTGAACCGTGATCTGCCTACTTACACTTCTCACATAGTTAGGGTAAAAGCTATGAACCAGTTAGTGATTGTCTCACATTTATGCCTGGGCTACCCTTAAATCTTGATTCTCCTGATCTCTATCCCCCAAGTAGCTAGGATTATAGGCATGAGCCATCGGCTCCTGGAAAGCCTTGCTATTTCTCATTATCCGTTGATTGAGAATAACTAACAATCCCCAAGGATAATCTAATAGAGGAAGCTGTTGACGTTATTTAAAAAGAGATTTTAGTTTAGGGCTCCCTTCCATGATTTAACACCGAGAAAAATGGATTGGCTTAATTAGCTTCAATAAAATGAATCTTCAGGTGTGGAGACTTACACAGATTAAAGCAGTTACATCTGTTCACCAGGATGGTATGCATTTGTCATCAACCATATTGAGATTTTATTAAGGAAACTAAAATAGCAAATGTTACAAGTAACGTAAGTTTTACATGTATTTCTTGTTAGAAACCTAACCATTCCATCTGTTTAATTAAAAGTACTAAAACATTACTATATGTAACCAACAGGGGACAAAAGACCTGTGCTCCACAAGCTAAGCTGGCTGGCTGAATTCATAAAATTAGAAATGCTGTTTCCAAAGTTTCTTTGGTTCACCAACCTGCTTTCTCATCTGTATCATAGCAAATATGCATTTGTTGTAGGGAAATAAAGTCTAGTCACATTGGTTGATCTTTTCACAATTTAGGTAATAATAAGCAGTAGTATAAAAATAATAGTAGTTATAATACATATAATAATAGTAAATAGAGAAGTTAGTCATGGCACATTCAAGAGAGACAAGTTGGCAAGATTTGTGCTGGGTGTCGTGGCTCATGCCTGTAATCCTAGCTACTCAGGAAGCTATCGGAGGATTTCAGTTCCAAACCAGCTAGGGCAGATGAATCTAGAAATTGTGGGGCCTGAACTCTGGGCCTGGACACTCTCCCTCAGCTCTTCAGCTCAAGGCTAGCGCTCTACCACGTGAGCCACAGCGCCACTTCTGGCTTTTTTCTTTTTGCTTATGTGGTGCTGAGGAATCAAACCCAGGGCTTCATGCATGCAAGACAAGAACTTTATCACTGAGCCAACTTCCCAGCCCAAATTTAGAGATTCTTATCTCCCATTATCTGGTAAAAAAAAAAAAAAACACAACAAACCATTAGTGGAGGAATGGCTGACGTAGTAGAGCTAGGAGTGAAAACAATGAATGAGGGCTTGAGGCCTGAGTTCAAGCCCCCGGACTGGTAAAATTGAGGAGATTCCCAGATTGTTTGGTCTCCGTTTTCCCAGTACCAACAGTTTTGTGTCACTTCTATTTGGATGCTTTCTGGAGATAGGGGAGTGTGCAAAATAGAGCTTCCAGGAGTCTCACGTGGGAACCGCTGTGCTTGTGTCTCTGTCTCTACATTGTCCAACTGCCCATCTCTGGGAATGGAGACTCAGGACCCCAGAACATTCTTTGGGCATGACTCAAAGTAACAAAACAAAACATGGGATGCAACTAAAAGTGATGCTTTACATCTTACAAAAGAAATACGCAACCATATTGTTCTAGTTAAAATTCTGTTATCCTGACGAGTGTATCTGAAGCACAAGGGTCTTTCCACTGCTCACCTTTGGAGTCTCATTCACTTTGAAATTAGATTTGCTTTATTTACTAGACTTAGGACATTGTATTATTCCTTTATAGATGTATTCCTCCTTTTGCAAAGAATTCATGGTATGAACTGGCGGAACTCATCTAACCTCCCTGAAGTTTAGATTCTTTATTGCAATGAGATGCTCAAGGTTCGAAGTCGGGAATGTCAGGTACGATAATGTTTAAAATCGTTATGTATTTGATCATGTGGTACTTGTGATTTAAACAACTAATGGAAAGTCCTTTCTGATATGAGGAAGCTCACCTACCATTACACAAAATCATTGCATTTATTATATTAAGGTATAATTTAGCTTGCTCACTCTATCTCTTTCTCTCTCTTTTTTTCCTCTCTCTGCCTGATACCAGTCCCTTCAACTGAGCTCGTAGGCATTATTCTTTAGCTTTTTTTTGGTTCAAGGCTAGCACTTTCCCACTTGAGCCACACCTCCACTTTTGGCCTTTTTGGTGGTTAATTGGTGATAAGAATCCCATAGAATTTCTTGCCAAGGCTGGCTTCAAACCAGCATCCTCAGAGCTCAGCCCCCTGAGTGACTAAGATTACAGATGTGTGTCACTGAAAGCTATGGAAGCTATCGTAGAATTTGATTTGTAGCAGTGTCGCATAGCTACTTGTCACCATCCTGCTTTCTCAAAGGGATGCGCCTTGTGCCCAAACATCTGGAAAACCAGGATGCAAACGCTGTGATCACACACCCCTTTCCAATATCATTCCTACCCAGGCTGGCCTGGTTTCAAACCGCGATCCTCAGATCCCAGCCTCCTGAGTAGCTAGGATTACAGGCGTGAGCTACTAACTCCTGGCTCAAAGAAGTCAGCTACAACTTCTCAACTGGTAAAGTATAATATAATCTGCAAGTTGGAAGCAGATGATTTAAGACCTCCAAATTCACCAGAGAGGAACAATAGGTCTCGGTTTTTCTAAGCCAGGCCCCTGACTGGAGGAGAAGACATGCCTGTTTTCTCCATTCACACACAGACCTCCATGGAGACATGGTTGACTGGCACACTCATCAAGATCGAATTCACAATGATCACCTAGAAATCCCGGGGCACAGTCACAGAAGTACGCCCCAAGAACATCCTGACAGGTTGCTCCATTGACACAAGGCTGAGACCAGCACCCATCCATTTCCACCTCACAGTGGATGCCTTGGGGGAAGAAAGTCAGCACAGAAACACTGTTAGCAAAAGGAGGACCATTCACACCCAGAATAGTAAATCATGCATTAAAATGACATTGCGGGATTCTCCAAGAGGCCGAAAGTCATTAGTCCTTTGATCTTTTTTGTGCCCTTTTTTCCAGATGGAAAACATAGAAAGGAATTCCAACACCACTTACCATTGAAAAGTGTTCACTTAGTTCTCCAAGTGGCTAGTGTTCAAAGGATAAAAGAATATCAAGTGTGGTGGCTGACTTTGGGAAGAAAACCAACTTCGAAGCTAAGTCTTGATAACTTAACCTACCCGTCCTGCGATCCCACCACTAACAGTTTTTCTTCCGGCAATCGTTCTCTGTATTTCTAAAGCGGTGCGGTCTCTCCTCCGTAAAACAAATCTGATTGCAGCAACATCGGCGCTTGCTGCCAAGGTTTTGGAAGAGTTGCTCCTCGCCCGTGCAGGTGTCCCGCCCTGTGCACTTGCCACCCCTGTCTCTCCTGCCTTCAAGCATACACGGGCCTCTTACTCATAATGTTCCCTCCTCACGCTCTCGTTCCTCAGGCTGAACCTCAGCTACTTTCCATAGATGGATGATTCGGAAGAATCACTGCTCATGTCTCCCCCTGCTGTGCCCCTCCTCTCCTGTCAAGTGCGCTGTGATGTGAATGCATGCGTTACCTTGTAGGACAAAGGCCTGTTTATCCATTGTATCTGCAGGAGGGTGCCTGTCACTTTGTCCATTGGTATCCCTGTGTGGCACTGAGCATGTATTCTTGAGTGAAGGAGAAGATTGATGAAATCTGAATGGGTGAACCACAGCTATGGACATATCTCCCGTTTCTCCTGGGCCACAAGTTGCTACGCCAGAATGGAACTTCTCAGAGCTACTGTGAGCCCGGCTCCACTCTCAAACAAAAGCCATGAAGTCAAATTCATGGATAAAACAAGTCATAGCTTCTTAGTCATGGTGTCTCCAATTTCTGACACACGTGTGGAGATAGTGCCCGTGGAGGTATCCTTTGGCAGAGATGGATACTAAGAATCTGAGGCAGGAGATGGAGCACATTGAGGGCTATCCGTCTGGGCAGGGCTTGCCCCCCAAGCTGTCCTCATTGCTCATTCAGTGGGCGCACAGCCCACCACACAGGAGGCCACAGTGATAAGCCACTCTGAACACCTCGCTCATTATCTGCAGAGCCCACACGCTACAAGTACTCCAGCTTTGAATCTGCATTCTAAATCTCAGATTCGACCCAATTCAGTTGATACTCTTATTGGGTTTCTTTGCATTCTGCTTTCCCTTGTGAACAAGAATTATGTTCGCTATTTCTGGGTTCTTCACACACGACAATTGCAACAGATATCGATGATGCAAATTTGTGACTCAAGGGGCCATTCCAAGAGGAAATGAGGCATCCGGCTTCCATCGCTACAGACAGACAGGAATTTCTCCTGCTGTAGATTATAAGAATAATAACCTTTCTAACATTCTAGAGATGTGGAGGGGATGACTTGTTGCTCTGATTCATAGGGTCAAAAGCACAACATTTAACAAGATGTTATGGGAGACTCAGGGAATATTTTTCAAATCTTCGATTGCCATTTCTTTGGGATTTGGATCCATACAGTTTTTTTTTCATCTGCATTTACACGCACATTTTTAAGAGTACTGAAAAGTAGCAAAATACCATTTTAAAATCTACCTCCAGTACTGCAAAACAATAAAATAAGATAAAATGTAAAAATAAAACCGGCCACTTAAGGCAAATGATTTAAGCTCAGATTTATGTCTCTGAAGGACTACCAAGTGGGCTTAATTCTATAACTTTCATCCTAAATTTTAACATTTCTGAAATTATAGTGCACATTACAATTCAGTGACTTAGTTGTGTTACATCTTATTTGCTTCGTTTTCCTTCTTTACTGGTGTATAAAGTCATGATAGCATCATTAATGCATTAAGAGGATAAAGAGAATTGATTTGCTCTATCATTTAGCGGACAACACTTTGTTCTGTGTAACTAATACTATTGGTATAATGAAGCCCATCCTTTCTTTTTCTGCGTTTACTGAGGGAGATCTGAGCCGACTTGGCTTTCGGCATGGTACACTCTTTCCCTCTGGTTTTGTTATTCCTGTCATATCCTCTCCCAAATTCATTTAATCATCAAAACTTGAAGAACACATGACTGCCTCAGTCCTTTCTTTCCAGACTATTCAAGGAGGCTGAAACTAGCTCTGAAAGGAAAAGGAGAGACGTTTTTCTGTTTGTCAGCCCGCGGGCAGCACACGGAGAAATCTGCCTCCCACCTTCTTGTTGGAAAGCGTGGCCAAGCGTGCTCTGTGGACGGCACCACTCCTCAGATGCTTCTGAGCCTCGTCCTGGGATCCCGTCTCCAGGCGCCATGTCTCCACATCCACCTAACACGCTCCTTACCAATCCACTCCCACCACAAGCCACAGCACGTGCCAAGACGCTGCTTGATCTTCCTGATATACTTAAGAAAATAGTAAAATACATATCTAGTTCTACTGCACATTTGTTAAGAGCCAGACACTTCATTTGTGCATAAAACTATTTCACAAAGTCCTATTTCTGAGCAAAGGCCTGAGCACGTATTTGATTTCCCCTATAAGATATAACAAAAAATTATCAATTTCACAAATCACAATGAGAGCCTATAGAAAAATGACTTCCTTTGATGAGATAATGCTAGCAATGACATTTCTAATGGGGATAAGCTTATGGTTTATAGTAGATAAATATTTTATTTCCCCAAATTGCTTTTTGCAAATGTTAAATTAACCATATGGTTTTCCAAAGAAACCTCCAAATGATGGAACAAATCAAAACGTATCTAGAAAAGAGGGAACTTCATCTAGATTCAAATCACCTTGACTGCCACTGCAGAGTTGGTTAGTTATACTGTGTGTGTTGAACTTAGAAATTCAGTGGACGAGCTGCAGAAGGTTCAAAACGAATGTGAAACATTCTTTAAATAAGGTCCTCATAGGAAATCTTCAACAAATGTTATTCAGAATGATTTTTATAACAAATGTTCTAAAGGACAGACCTGCTATGAATGATCTAGACACTGAGAGCTGATGGGAGACAGAACACTTATTTCGTTTGTGTGTATGTGTATATGTGCGTATGTATGTGTATATATGTGTGATTTGTGTATAGGTATATGCATGTGTGTGTATGTGTGTATGTGCATATGTGCGTGTATATATGTGTGATTTGTGTACAGGTATATGCATGTGTGTGTATGTGTGTATGTGCATATGTGTGATTTGTGTACAGGTATATGCATGTGTGTGTATGTGCATATGCGCGTGTGTATATGTGTGATTTGTGTACAGGTATATGCATGTGTGTGTGTGTGCATGTGCGTATGTGCGTGTGTATATGTGTGATTTGTGTACAGGTATATGCATGTGTGTGTGTATGTGCGTGTGTATATGTGTGATTTGTGTACAGGTATATGCATGTGTGTGTGCGTATGCGTGTGTGTATATGTGTGATTTGTGTACAGGTATATGCATGTGTGTGTATGTGCGTATGCGTGTGTGTATATGTGTGATTTGTGTACAGGTATATGCATGTGTGTGTGCGTATGCGTGTGTGTATATGTGTGATTTGTGTACAGGTATATGCATGTGTGTGTATGTGCGTATGCGTGTGTGTATATGTGTGATTTGTGTACAGGTATATGCATGTGTGTGTGTATGTGCGTATGCGTGTGTGTATATGTGTGATTTGTGTACAGGTATATGCATGTGTGTGTGTGCATGTGCGTATGTGCGTATGTGCGTGTGTATATGTGTGATTTGTGTACAGGTATATGCATGTGTGTGTGTATGTGCGTGTGTATATGTGTGATTTGTGTACAGGTATATGCATGTGTGTATGCGTATGTGCGTGTGTGCGTATGCGTGTGTGTATATGTGTGATTTGTGTACAGGTATATGCATGTGTGTATGCGTATGTGCGTGTGTGCGTATGCGTGTGTGTATATGTGTGATTTGTGTAAAGGTATATGCATGTGTGTATGCGTATGTGCGTGTGTGCGTATGTGTGTGTATATGTGTGATTTGTGTACAGGTATATGCATGTGTGTATGCGTATGTGCATATGTGCATATGTGTGTGTATATGTGTGATTTGTGTACAGGTATATGCATGTGTGTATGTGTATGGGTGTGTGCACACAGGTGTGTGCTGGTTCTGGAGCTAGAACTCAAGGCCCTTTGGGATATCTTCAGCATAACAAGCAGCGTGATCTTGTTAAAACGTAGCACAAATGGAGGGAGGAAGGGTTAGAAAATACAGTCATTATATTCAATGTTCACTAAGTACAAAATTAAACAATGTACCTTGAGAGTCAGGGATGGATGAGGAGAGATGAGGGAGAGGGATGGAAGGGGTGACATTGTACTCATCACCTATCTTCTGGAATTGAAACACCTTGGTACATCTACTTAATACAAAGAAACACCATAAAAAGCATAACATGATTATTTCTGCTCTGTACTCAAAACTCTCCAAACCTCCTCTCCCACTTGGAGTGAAAACAGTTCTTACAGCGACCTGAAGGTCCCACCTGTACCCTTCCTACTCCACCTTCAATATTGTTCCTCCAAGATCCCAAGTACTCTTCACCTCAGGGCCTTTGCATGGGCTGTTCCTCCCCCAGAACCACGTTCCTCAGGACGCTTGCCTCACCATTCTGCCCACCTCTTCACAATGATCCGATTATCACTACTCAGTGAGCCTTCTTCCATCATTTCATCTAAAGCTTAATTGTTCTCTCCCTTTTTCATTGTTGTAGTTTTCTTCACTGCATTTGACTTATTTCTTATTTCATACTCACACATCTCTTCTTTCTAGAGTAGAGGATTCCTTTTCATCCATTGGGTCTAGTGAGGGCCTTTTCTATGCTTCCAAGATGGCGCCTGAGCCCTGAATCCCCCGGAGGGAAGCGATGC